GTGAAGAGGCACAGTGCCTATTTCTAGCTCTCCCACTGCTCTTCAGTGTGATTTCATGAAAATTGCTTTACGTCTGTTTGGTTCAGTTTTTTAACCTGTGAAATAGGGATTTATAATGAGCTGTGAGTTTTGCTAACATAAGCTTTGCTGCATAAAAATAACGCATTATTGTCATTAATACACATATGTATTGTAACACATTTTAATTTCATACATCTGTGCTTTTTGAGAGTTTGTATGCTAAGAAGCCAGAAGGGACCCTGGAGTATCTCTGGAAAGAAGGCTGCACACCTTGCTGGTGCAGGTTCCCCACCAGCTGAAGCTGATCTGACACTGTGCTGTCACAGATAGCAGTGGTCTTGTCATTATCCTGGCAGTGTGCTGCCCTATAAGAGGGTTCATAAAATATATCCACCAGCTGTTAGAACCCACTTGCACAGCTTCATAATTGTGTGTGCAGATGCAGGAGAGGGGAGCAACATGTGGGAAGAAACTGCAGAGGAAAGCGCTGTGAGTGTGGAATTGACTTCCAGTTCAGAAACCTGTTCATGTTTTTGTTTTTGTTCTCTTTGAGATAAATTGAACTCTCCTTTTTCTTTTTGTCTGTTGGACAGGCTTCAAAGGAGAGAGCTGTCATTTCTGCTGGGTTTTAAAAGATTAGCAAAAGACCTATCCACTATCAGTGCTTCTGCCTGTCACTGACTTATCAGAAGAGTTTTGTCAGAACTATCTTCCAGAAATTATGAAATTTTGCGAATACTCTGATTAATAATAGACTTTGAATAGAAACAGTTTTTCAAGAAGCTACCTATTTAGGTTGCTGGGAGTTCACTGTAAGCTTCAGCACGAGAGGTTGTCAGTGGTTAATGGGCTGATTCGGCCCAGCTTGGTGACTAGTGGGGCAGAGTGGGTCTGTGGGTCCACACCTCTGGAAAGGGGAAAATCAAGGCAAAGAGAGATGGGCCTCAAAAATAACAGCAGCAATGATCTGAGGAGAAACAAAGTAATTTACTAAATAAGATATCGGAATGCAAGATAACACACTATAATACAATATAACACAATACAATTAGAATTGGAGCTAATAAATCAAATATAATGAGAGTACCCAAAAGCCAATGGCCTTACTTTAATGCTGAGGTGAGATGTGCACTTGAGACAAGCAGAAGGGAGGAGAGCTTGGTCCTGTCACCTTGCCAGGGGCTTTATCTATCTCCACTCTGAACACAAAGCCCTCTGGGGTGTGCAGTTCTTCTCTTCTGGGACAGGTGCCTGGAACTGCAGCATTGACTCTTTAACTCCCAGTGCACTACATGATGTTGTGATGTGGAACACCGACAGCCCAAAATCATAAATCCATGACAGAGATGAGAACATTAATAATGGGTGAGCTCTGAATTCTGGCTTGCCATGCCCATCTTGGTTCATCTTCCTGTGTTTTTTTAATTAAATTTTAAGATTCTCTTTAAAATAAATTTACATACTCGTGAACAGAATTGTTTGTCATTCTGGAAAACCTCTCAAGGTATGTTTGGGTCTTTCTGTGCAATAGAAATTGGTCATTTAGAGTTGCTTTGGAACATTCATCTGGGCACAGAAGCCAGCATTGAATCTCCCTATCTCAAGCAAACTCAGGGAGCAGAAGGCAGCACCTCCCTGCTCTCATCTCTGCTTTTATTCTTTAGGAGTGGAATTCCCTTTCCCCATTTGGCATAGCTGTACAGGCTGATTTCACACAAAGCCTTTCTGACACTAAGACAAATTCATCTTCCTCAAGTATGAGAGAAGTTCCATCTATTCTCTCTTTTCCTTTATAAGCAATGGCTAAATTCAGCTCTTTGGGTTAAAAAATGAATAGTGCAAGAACATGGCATATGGCCGCTTGCCTAAGAAACTGGCTTGTTTACTGAAAGAAATTGTAATGTGTTGGCATTCCCTGTAATTCAGCTTAACTGGGAGCCTGCCAGAATTAAATCAAAATGTGTTCGCAGTATGTCCAAAATATAGCCAAAGTGCCAAGTCTGTAGTAGCAAGTACAACAACCTGTTTCAGAGCAAAACATGAAAATGTCCCAATATGCAAAATAAATTCACTGCTGTTGTTTTCAGTCTACTTATTAAAACAAAAATAAAGGGTGTAATAAGTTGTTTGACTAGTACTTGTGATGTAGGAATAATACTCAGATGAGCAGTTCAACAAAATTAAGAATTTTATCAAGGATTTGTAGCTGGAAAGGGGACAAGTTTAAGGCTCTTTTCCCTCCAATGGGCTGCAATATTAGATAGTATGGATTGGAGGTCAGTATCTAAAAAGAGACTATAAGAAAGAAGGAAACAGCTCTTTAGCAGGATCTGTTGTGATAAGACAAGGAGAAATAGTCTCAAGCTAAAAGAAGGGAGAGATTTATATTTAATATAACATTTTTCCCCATCAGGGTGGTGAGGCACTGGCACAGGTTGTCCAGAGAGGTGGTAAATGCCCCATCCATGGAGACACTCAAGGTCAGGGTGGACCTGGCTCAATGTGCCTGATACAGTGTAGATGCTCCTGTTCACTGCAGAGTTGGATTAGATGTAATTTATGGGTACCTTTCAACTCAAAGGATTCTATGATTGTGTCAGATGTGTGGTTGACCACTTCACTGGGCATACTGGACTGAAAGAAGCCACTGAATGTGTAGCAGTGTTGTGGGATGCTTGCATGCTGAACATATATCCTGCCTTTATCTGAGCAAGTAGCATGAGAGGTCACACTTCAGATAATTTGGATGCCTCTGTCACAGGCAACCAGAAATGGAGCTGGTTTTTCTTGGTTTTGCTAGCTGTATTCCTGGGGTATGTTCAGTCTTCACCTAGTCTGTATCTCATTTACTTTGCATCTCATGTAACTTTGAGGAGATGAAATTTACTGCTGCCATAAAGCTAGTGTTAAAGATGCTGTGTGTGAGTATTTTTGGTGGCAATACCACTGGTCCCGTATCTAGGAGAGCTGGGTACAGCTGATCACCACCTTTTGGAAAGTGTAATTGTGCTTAATCATAAAATAGAAGAGAACATCCATTTAAGTAAGATCAGTAAGTACTCTGCCCTCCAAGCATTTTTCCTTCAGTCCTTGAGAAGAAAGCTTCACTCTGACCTTTGTATTTTTCAATGTATACAGTGGTGTCTCTTTGGTTTCAGTGCAGCTGTATGTGTACCATCTTGACCTTGGGAAGAGACTTGTCTGGAGAAAATGCAAATTTCTTAAAGTTCTGTATCTCACTCTCATGTCCTTTGGTAGAGCTTTGAAAAGTGCCAAACAAGCCATTTCTGCACCTTTTGGCTCCTCACTGGCAGGAGTTCCTCTGGACTGACTCAGTCTCCACATGTTGCCTGGAGGAATTTTTTTCTCATCTCCTTGAGATCAGTACCTCCTCTCTGCTGAACATGAGCAGTATTCTCATTTTTGCTGTCTACTGACTTTCTTAGTTGACTGAGAAGCAGTAACTTCAGATCTCCCAAAGATTATATAGCATTTTCTTGATTAAACCAGCACTTCCACGTAATTGTACAAGGCTGTATAATAAATTCTCATGAGATTATAAAGGTTATAACAAAGGTAGACTATAGGTGATGAGAACAAATGAAAAAATTTGTTTAGTGCTTATTTCTTTTCCTAAAGACACCAAGCACTCCATGCTTCAAGGAATGCAATCTCTCTACAAGCAGGCTTTGTTCAGGTCATGTCACTGACTATTCTGGAGTGGAGAAGGCACTGAAAGTGCTGCAATTGTAAGCACTGGGAAATGTAATTGTGCTACCAAAGACTGTCTTTATTGAGGAAATTAGCACATGCATATACCAGCAAGTATCATGGGAAAAGTTAATTCCTGCAGAGGATTTTTCAAAATGGAGGAGGACTTCAGTGAGGTATAATTCTTCTGTGTGATGCCCTTGCACAGAGACATGAATTTCGATCCATGAAATTGAATGAGATGATCCACAAACCTTTGGCCGTTGTGGGCTCAATCATGCAGCATTCAGTGCTCTCAGGCTCTGCTCCAGCAATGCACTTAAGTTTAATTAGAATCATGTGAATATTCCTGTGCAAATCAATGGGAGGATTAGCAATATATATGGAAGTGAGGCAGGCACTTAAGTTCCTACTTGGATTGAGGCCAGACCTGCACAAATAATCACCAAAGTGCTTCTTATATTAAATAATGACTGGTAACAAGAATAGGCCCTCCAAGGTCTATTGCATAAAAAAATGCATTTTTCAAATAGCTGTGTATGCCCAGTGATGTGGGGGGCCTCATATAAAAATTTAGTACTGTGATTTCCACAGACTGCAAAGGTCTGTCAAAAAAGCTGTCCAGTTAATTAGATTTATATTTTAAACAAATTGTGCTTAATTTGTCAAGTTATGTAGTATAACTGCTTTTTCAGTTATGAAATTAAACATAAGATGCATCGTAAGATTTTCTGTAATTGTCAAGGATTTAATTGATGATTCCTTAGGGCAACATACCAAAATCAACTTCCCTCCTGCAGTTTTGTTATTATTAACCCAGCCATCAGTTTCTTCCTCTTTCCCTGACCACATTTGTACACAGGGGAGCACTGTCCCATCAGGGCTAGCTGGGACTCAGGCCATCTCTGTCTCTTGCAAAGGGACTGATTTGTTGCCCTCTGTACTACCAACACATTTTTTAAAAAATCTGACATAACTGGTAGGAATTTTGTACTTCAGAAGCATCTGTGCTTGCAAAGGAGCAGGGAGCAGCCAGTCCTCACCCTCTCTGTGTCCTGCTTTGTGCTTGGTGTTGTAGCCACTCTTTTCTACCTGCATGCAGTTTGTGCCCTGTAATTCTTCCTTGCCCTGCCTGCTGCTAATGCTGCTCTGGTTGGTGTCTGTACCGTAAACTGCATTGGAGCATATTCAGCTGCTGAACAAAACCCTTTTCTTGTATTTTTCCTGAGCTATTGTTCGGGTGACTCAGCTCCCCGGTCCAGCCCAACATGCCGCCACAAAGACATTTGGAGGTAGTGAGTGTGAGAGGCAAAGAGCAGAAAAATGCTTTAGCTGCTTTAGCTGCTAAAGAACCAAAGTTCTTTAACATGTTGACAAAAGAAAGTAAAAAGAAAAGGTTGAGCAGCTGAGTTTCCCTTCACCTTCTGTGCACTTCACCTCCCACTTGCTGAAGCTGGCAGATCTGGTTCGCTGTACAGCCATAAAATTACCAGTGCCAGTACAGGAGAGGAGATGGGAGGAAAAGTTGTTCCCTCTTTCAGCAGCAGCATGGTTTGAAATTGGCTTATGTCCATTATGGAAGTGCACCTTCAGTGCACCTTTTTATATCTGAAAAGAAATAGATAATCTTTAGAAGTACAGTTGACACATCAGATATTTGAAAAATGAGAGATGCTGAGAGGCAGCGAATAGCAAAGTGGCTCAGTAGGAAAGCAGACATGAAGTAATATTTTTTGCAAAAGAAGAGAGAGAAACAAAGACTGAATGTAGCACGGAGCTGCGGCAGCCAGGTGTACCTGTGAGTTACTGAGTGGCAGCACAGGAAGAAGTGATTGCAGTGACAGGTGGCACAGCGATTAGGTATGGCCTGTGAAATGAAGTTAGCATACCTAGAAGGTCAGAAAAAATGATAGTTTAGAAAAAGCTATTTACATAACTTACAAAAACATTTCATAAATATGAAAGTCGCATTTTGTTCACCTCTGGCCTTTCAGTACCATCTCTGGCTGGCTTCCCTGCTCTTTTCTTGTCACAGTTATTTAATGCAGAAACCCATAATTCTTCCATTTATTTCTACACTCTCTCTTATTGTTCCCGCATTAATCTTCATGCGATTTGGTCCTGCCACAGCCTCCCATCTGCGTGGCTCAGGGCTGTGCTCAGAGACCCTTCCGAGAGGCAGCAGCACACCCAGCTGTGAGCATCCTGCCTGCATCAGCCTGCTACAGGAGCGGGCTGCTTCCTGACTGGGACTTCAGGAGCTGCCCAGCCTCCTTCGAGCACCTTTAATCCTCTCCTGTCTCTCTGTGTTTACTCCTCTGGCATAGGTGAAAAATAACGCTGTGAACCCCAGAAGGCTTTTTCAAGGATTTCACTGGGAAATGCCTGAAGTGTAGTGAGGCAGCCTGCTCCCTAAGAAGCCATGAGGAATGTCCCCAGAAATGTTACTGTGTATCAGACTACTTCTGCTGACAAAAGAATAAATGAATCCTGCTCAGTTAGTGCAACTTGCTTCCCCTTGTTAGCTTAGTATTCTTACTAAGTTAAACATTTGCCCTTTCACCAGCAGTTGCTTAGAGGTTCTGTGGACAAGCTTGCTACTGACATTGCCGCTACCTACCTTTTACCATCACGTATCTGTTACCCCATGCCTGATAGTTTAAGTAAACAGTTATAACTGTTTTCTCACAAAGAATGGGAAAATAACTGGAAATGGTCTCAAATCAGTGTTCAGTTTTCTGTGTTCTTTTTTTTTGTTAGCACCAGCAGGACCTCGAGCTGCAGCAGCTTTTAGCTCTAGATGGAAATGTTGCAGTACTTCCAGTCTGATCCTTCCTAGTTGGATTTAAATTTCAGTTTCTAGTCCTGTCCTGTGTCCCATTTCTGCATGCTGCCATGTAAGTGTCCCAAGCATCTGAAAAAGTAGTGGCTCAAGCATCTGTGTGTGTGTTTGAAGTGTTTTGTATTTGTAATCACTTGGCTTTATGTTTTTTTAATACTAAATTACCAGAAACTTTTATTTCACTGGGCAGATGAGAATTTTCTTGTAGGTTGGTTTGTAATCATTTTGTTCACAGACTTTTGGCCATATATTTATTTTTAGAAATGATATATTTCTTGCCAGTTTCTTGTTGGTACATAGGATTTAATCTGGAACAAGCTATGGCCAGATCAAATAGCATAGCATTTACAATTCAGATTTCAAACACAAAATAGTAGTGATTTAAAATGCAGCAATGCTTTTTGTCGTGTAGTTGAAGCCAGAGACTTAATCTGCCTTAATCTTCTCCTGCTTGAAAAATGGTAGCAAATAGAAATTTCTAGCCCTCATCCTGTTCAAAATCAACCATAATTTTTTTTTCTGACATTGCCATATAAATAAGTGGAATAAAAATGAGTAAATATAAGGAAAGAAAAACACTTTCCTTCAGTGGGATTTTAGACTTTTTTTCTTGTTTTACTTCTTTCCATTTTATTAGTTTTTTGCTAGTTTCACACTGGCTGTAACAAAAGAATAACATTGCCTAGTTTGGGAATTTCCTGACAATTAATTGACAGCTCCTGACAATCACTTGACTTCTAGCTGAGCTAATCAGTGATTGCTAGAACTAATTCCTCCAAACTGCTTAAGAGCTTAATTTAAGATCCTCCAGATTTGTGCTGCTAACAGGACATGATGGAGAGCTGAGGGGCTGGGAGTCCGAGTTCCCCACAACAACAGGAGCAGGAGGTGTGTGTGAACCCAGGCCCACCTCATCCACAACTTTGCTTTGCTAAGTGGTGACCAACAGATGCTATCAACAAAGCTGCTGATCAGCTCTGAAGAAAGCATGAATACTGTTTTTTTCTTTGACTCCTGCAACAATCGCAGGCAGCTTCCCCAAGACTTTTGGCAACTACATGAAGAACTTAGTAAGGAATTGCCAAGCCCAGGTTCTGCTTCTAGGATTTGTGTCCTGCAGCTGTTTAAACTATTGTGTGTTGGGCCCTAGACTTGTGAAGAAATTGTATTGAGCAGAAACCTTATTTCTTTGTGCTTTTTGCTGTAAATGCATGCATTGGATTTGCCTTTCTTTTGATATCTAGGATTTTTAGTAAAACATGTCAGTGAAGTCAAAACAAGAATTAATATATTTTGGCACTGAAATATCTGTAGCAATTTTTAGTCTTCTGTCAGCTCTTTTATCGCCTCTCAGGTTTGCAAGTGTTAGCATTTGCTGACAAAATGGGATTTGGGGCTTTTGGCTATCCTGTTATAAGTTTGCTTTGTTTTCTTGATAGTGTTTTGCAGGAGTACATATGCCTCAGAAATTTTCTGTTCCTTTATGTGCATTTTGGCTGGGAAACCTTTGTTCTGAAGCATCTGTGACATTGTGCCTGGATATTTCTGACTATGAATGTGAGCTGAATTTAATGTAGAATGCTATTGCAAATTAATCAGAGATGCATTTAGAGTAGGAGCCATTGCACCTAACTTTAAATGTCTACCTTATCTACGTATAGCCTTTTGAGTTTAAGAACTATGTAAATAAGCAACTATATGAAATAAAGATTTTTTAATAGTTCCAAGATAGCTGTAAATATGTCTGGAACAATGGCAGGAATGGTGATCTTAAGTTTGCCATCTCATCAAATGGAAATGTAAATGAAGGAAAGAATTCCCATGTGCAGTTCTCTTATGGCACAGCTTTTGAAAAGCACGCTTGGCAGTGGTGCCAACTGAAGCAGCTGCTCTGTCACCAGATGATGTTCACCACCTCCTCTGTGTCAGTTCCATAGCTGGTAAGCAAGGAGCAGAGCTACAGGAGCAGTTTGTGGCCCAGATTGCGGTGTGGCTCTGCACAGAGGCGCGAGGAGCAGGACAAGTGGCCCAGCTCACAGCTGGCACTGCTGTGTCTGCCAGGAGGGATTCTCATCAAACTTTGTCTCTAAAAAGCAAAGCAGTGTGGGACGTGAGTTCAGCACAGGAAATAGATAGAACGACTTGCCTAGCATTTGGCCAAAGAGTTTCTCTTTAAAATAAATGTAATGAAACAGATCCAGTGTCCAAGTATCTCAGCTTAGTCATACCACAATGTGGAAGCATATAATCCAACAAATGAGAGGTGTGGACATGCTGGCTGTTGGACCTGCTGGCACTTCCAGATCCTTCTCAGCCACGCTGCTTCCAAATGACCGGAGGCTGCTGTAGTATTTGTATCAAGGAGAAAATTAATAGGACTGGGGAAAAACAAACTTTTATTAGCACAGAGAGCTAACAGAACTGCTTGGGTATTTTATCACTTTTATGGCAAGTTCGTCAGTAACAGTGTAAGTGACATTTCTCAAGTTTAAGACTGCTGTGCAGGAGTGTGGTCTTGGTTTGAAAATGTGATGTGCTCTCTGAGAGTGACACTTATCCTCCAGAAACATCCTCAAGGTCAGGTGTGGTTCCAGCAAGCTTTCTGAAAGCGCAGCTTGTTCCTCCTGCGGTGGTGCCACGGCTCAGCAGTGCCTGTCACTTTGTGGGGAATGTCTTCACTCACTATTATTCACTTACAGGTAATGAAGGCAGAACTATATTAAGTCACTTACTTCATATATCCAAATGTCAATTTAAGGGTGATGGCATAACGTTAAATCAAATTTTGAAAGTGGAGCAGTTTGCTCATTTGTTATTAATATTGCCTGACACGTCTGCTCATAAAACTCTCTTTCCAGGTGCTCTGAACTCTTAAAATATTAATATTTCAGTGCTGCTTTTGTCTTGATATTACAGTTCTCTTGGAAAACTGCTGCCAAAAAGAGCTTGTAATTATAGACATTGTGCGATCACGGGAAAGCCTGTTGCTTTGGCCATGCTTTAAAAAAAAAGTTACAATTTTCTGCAAATCATTAGGAGAATGGGAGAATCTGAGATTATGGAACCTGCAAGGAGATCACAGGGGATGTGGCTGAAGAGTGAGCCCAGTGAGGTGCAGGAAGCTGAGAAAGCAGAGGAGTTGGATCCAGCCAAGGTTGGGCCACTCGAAGCTGCAGTGAAGTTGGTGTTTTGGGTTAGTCAGTGTGTGGGGAGCAGCCACTCAGAGAGCTCATCCCACTGTGATTCTCGGTTGTGGAATTCAAGTAGTGGAGCTCTGCCTCTATTTGCATTTGAAACATCCATCTGTATCTCTGTGAATGTTATTGTAATGACATGGGAAAGTTACCCAGGAACCAACATTTAAACATATTATATTTGCACAGTCAAGCACTTAAAGGTCATATAATACCAGAACTGAATATTTTTCAAAGAAGACTCTTAATTTGCTTTTATGCCTGTTTGAGCATTCATGCTGTGTATTGTAATTTTTAACGTAGTTTCTGTCTACAATTTTATGATGTTATAGGTCAGGCATGTTACA